GTTCCGGTCCTGCTGGCTGAGGCCCGGGGTTTTGTTTAGCTTCCATTTTGTAACATAGTTGCTTTGAGTGCCGCTCACAGCCAGGCCGTGGCAGGGGGGAAGCTTGGCTTCCTCCATCACTGGAGCAAGCAAGCCTCCTGCTCGCTCCAGCTCCGTGGCTGCCGGTCGCCATCTTGGTTGGGTTAATTTGCATACATTCGCTCTGATTTGCTGGTGGGCGTGGCTTAAGGCATAGAGAAGGTATGGGCAATTTGCATGTTTGTCTTTTATTAGATTAGATGTCTCCCCAATAAATTTAAATTAACAAAAAGAAAAATAACAGTGATAGGAAGAAAATGTCAAGATAAAATTATCAAATTTCAATATATAATTGTTAATTTGAGGTTTCAGATTTAAATTATCTTTAACAGTAGACAATATTATTAACATTTAATCTTGGTAATTAAAAAAGAAAAAGGAACCCATATTTTTAAAACTGGTCTCTGTTATGGTTACTGTGAGTAAGGAAAGTGAGGTAAAATTCAAAAAGTAACTAAGGATTTCACAATATAGCTATTAGACTTTTAAACTTTTTTTATAAATGCTGTATGAAAAAATAGATTCTTATTTCTGCTATTGTTAGCAAGACTCTTGGATTGTGATGCCATTTGTTCATACTCCAACTGCTAGGGGTTTTTTTAAAGTTATTTTTTGGAATCTAATACTGTGTTTTAGATATCTTAATAAATGTTTAATAAATTTTAGCATTTTAAACTTTTTTGAGACAATGATATTAATTTTACTTTTAATTTATTTCAAGGCTGCTGTCAGAACATTTTAGAGAAATTACATGATACTGCTTATAATTATTCTAAGAACTTAATAGTTCAAGAAATTAATTTTTTAATTTTAGTATTCCTTGAAGTAATTAAAGAGAATTCTGGACCCCTTCTCTTTTTCCATTTGATTATTCTGTTTGTTCTCTCCAAGTTCATGCCTTACTGCTTGCTTATTTCCTGCTATTATTCTCTTCAACAAACTCAGCATCTGAACCTAACTCATCTCATTGCCCCTGTGTAGTTCATGCTCTTTCCTCAACCAAAGCATGTGATTCTGCTCTTGGTCCCCTGTAGAGCAGTGGTTTCTCAAAGTGTGGTCTCCAAGAACTTGTTAGAAATGCAAATTTTAAGGTCCTTCCAGACCTAGTGAAGCAGAAGCTTTGGTGGTAGGGCCCAGCAATGGGTTTGAACATCCCCTCCAGAGGATTCTGATGTGATGTGCCAAAGTTTGAGACCCACTGGACCTGTCATTCTTACCTACTCACACCCTGTAAGAGTTCAGACCTCTCAGTGTCACAGAACTTTTCTGATCAGAGCTCATACTGAAACCCAAAATATGGTCAGGTCCAAGCTCTTTGTCTTGTAAAACCAAAGAATGGATTCACGGACAAAAATGATGGGAAGAAAACAAAATTTATTGGGGGGGTGGGGGTGGAAACAAAGCTTCGGGTTTGAGGGGAGAGTGGGGAGGGATATACGAACTTACTGCTGCAGGAAGGGGACCCAAAATGGTTACCTGCTCTTGGTCTAGGGATATTCATATACTCTGCTAGCTTTTTTTTTTTTTAAAGAGAAGAAAGACTTTATTTTATAAATTAAATTCTTTATTGTTGAAAGTAGTATATATGTCTCCTTTTCCCCCCGTTTACCTCTCCTGGCCCCCAGCACATAGCTTTATCTGCTAGCTTTTGATTGATCCCTTCAAGGAATTCTGGCAATATCCAATTATATCAAAGTTCAAGTTCCCACCTGTGGGAGGACCTGATTGAGGACTGCCACTTCAGGTTTTGAGGTGACAACACTGTTCCCTCCCAGTTGGGTTCCACCTAGCTAGTTCTAGGTCCTTTGTTTGCCTCCACATGGTCCCTGCCCTGACTGTCTACCTAGCTCTGTTTTTCTATCTCAATACCACTGATGTCCTCTTTCTCAATAGTCACAAAATGTAAATAGACTCTATCCTTCATTTTGGCCAATTATTCATATACTGCTTTGTACCTAACAGACCACTATAGTGACACTATAGTAAACATTTAATCACCAGGAATATATTAAGTAAAGTTATAAAACTAGTCAGAGAGACAGCAAGGAAAATATTTTAACTTTAGTAATCTTTACAGATGCTTAAAGTAGGTGCTATGGAAGTGCATTTCTTTGCTGTGAGACAGAGGCGGGGGAAGATACTTGAAGTACTATTAAGCATTTCAAGGCAATTTGTTTATAATAGAACAGCAGATGCAGCTACCATGTATTAAGCATGCACTATGCTCCAGGCACTATGTGCTTTATAAATTAGGTAATATTTTTCCCCATTTTGACAATGAGGAAATTTAGGATTATAGAACTTAAGAAATTGTTTAAAGTCATATAGCTAGTAAGTGGCTGAAACAAGAGTCTAATGTTGATCACCTGACCCCAGAGACAACATTTTACCACTGTGTCAAACTACCTTTTGATATTTCACTATTTTATGCCAGCTGTTAATGACTGGAACTAGGGAATATAAATTGTATTCAAAATATTTATATTGTAAATTAAAGTACATTAACTCTGAAAATCAACAGCCAAATTATTTATCTAAGTAACTGATTCCATTGATTCATGTATACAGTTGAGAAAATGATGAAATAAATTGTTGATTTTTCTATTTGTTGTGAAGCATTTTGAGTAGGATACAAAAAAGTTATAAGAGAGCTTGGATTTTAGTTGCAAATACAAGAATGAAAAGTTAAAAAATTGAAAATTTAAGTTATCTTTCAAAATAACAACTGAAGAGATGCAAAGTAGAATATGATTCTTTTCCAAATTAATTTTTGAAAAAATTTATTGTTATAAAGGTCCCAAATTATAAACAAGCTAACTAGTGTGTTCAAGGAAAACTTTGTAGAAACAGCCTTGAACAAGGTCTTGAAAATGAAAGGATAGAGAAAGGCATTTGAGAATATGCAAAGAGCCAAAAACAAAAGGCCTTTTCATGGGAGAATGAGTAACATATTCACCTAAAATGAGAATTCAGAAAGGTGAGTAGTTGTAGATAAGACTGAAAAGGTAGATTAAGTCTTATATTGTAGGAGTCTTGGTTGCAAATCACAGAACCTCAGCCTGAACTGACTTAAGTGAGAGGGGTGGTTATGAATAGGAAGGAGTAGTTCAGAGGATTTGAAGAAGCATCAAAAGCAACAACACTAGGTCTTCTAGAACTGGACAGTCTCTCCATCTTATATCTTTCCTCTCTCCGGAGTAGTTGCATTCTCTCAGCGTATTTTTTTTCAGTTGCCAACAGCTCTCTTCTCTTAGTTCCAATTGGAAAATTCCAAGGAGGGATACTCGTCCAGCTAAGTCACATTCCTATCCTTATATCAATCAGGTGTGGCCAGGAAAACAAGGGATAGGCCCAGGACAACAGCCACAGGCCCCGAGGGAAATCATTGGAGCCAGGCACCTTCAGTGGCACCAGACCATTCATCGATGCCTTGAATGCTAGGTTAAGAGAGCTGAAAACTTGATCTTTAGCTAACCAAGAATCAAGTGTTAAGACAGTAGGAATAATATAATTAGTTTTTTTGAAAGTTTAGTATAATGATCTGTACAATATCCTTTCTTTATTGAATGTTGTTAGTCTCTAACCACTAATTATGTTTTCATTTCTTACGATGCTTGCTATTTTCACCACTTAATAGTTCTCAATACTCAAATGATATTGGGGGGATGGAAACCCCTAATTTAATACTGTGGACCAAATTGGAAGTATTGGTACATATATGTTTGTGGTCTGAGTAAAAGTAATATTTCTGTTCTTTCACACTTATTGAGAGGAGCAAATTATATACAACCAGAAAAAAAATCAGAGATAACATTTTAAGAAATAATTTTGTGTTTTAGAACCTTGTTCTTTAAAAAGAAGTTAATGTAATAGATGCACATGGTATTGCAGAAGTAATTTTGTGTTTTAGACCTTGTTCTCTAAAAAAGTTACAGTAATACATGCACAAAAATCAACACTTTTCTACTTTCCTGCCTATTCCCAAGAAGCAACTCTCTCAGCTTTTAGATTTCCTGGTAGTTAACTGTATAAATCTAAGTTTCTTGTTTTATCAAATGATTTCCCCATCAAAGGATGAGGATTTCAGAAACTTGCATTTTATTTTCAATTGCTAATTATAAATTGCCTGATATAAAGATATAATTTAAAGTTTTAAAGTACTTTATTTCTAATAGGGCTCCAGTGGTCCAGAATCTTTTACTGTCTACCACTACAATGGACTGAAGCAGTCAAATTATAATGAAAAGGTATGATAATTCATTCACATAGTGATTTGTCTTCACCTGGGTTGATAAAATAAATGTATGAATGTATGACAGTGTTTGATTCTCACAAAATTGTTACTTAAGGAGATTATTCCAAGAGTCTCTACTATTACAAGATATTTTAGAACAGGTCATATTTTGATTTAACCAATATATGGTACACTGAGATTTTCATTGGAATTTTGGAGTAATAGTTTCACTGTGACAAAATAACTACATCTCTGTGCATGTTGTTATCCTTGACTATGTGGATATTACTAAATCAACATTATAGTTTAGTCCAGTGAAAGTTACTGATCAATTCATGTGAAGAAAGGGATAATAGATTTTTGATGAGAAAAATATTTTTAAATGATTTAAATTAATAACCATAATAGTTTAGTTAACACTTATGGATCATTTCTCTGGAATTGTATTAAGTACTTTGTTTTATCTGAAGTTTCCTTCCACCCTATGAAGTAAGTATGGTCTGTATATTCCCATTTTACAGAAGAGGAAACTGAAGCACAGAGAGGTAAGCACCTTGCTAAGGTCAAACAGCCAGTTAAATGGCAGAGCTGGGAATGAAACTTAGTCTACCTTGGAGCCTGCCTTCTTACCTACTATGCTTTGTTGCTTTCCTTTTTGAGTGAATCATTGAAAAAGGCACCAAGGTGACTTATTTCCCATGTACTCACCTGGTTTAATCCAAAAGTTGGTCTCACTGATATACCCTTTTGAATTAAATATTAGCTTTGTCTACATATATCATACATCTGTTATGTTTGCATGGTTTTCAGGTAGCAATCACAGAAGATATATATAACTAATATTAGAAGGAGTGGAGTGAGGCCTGACACGTTTTTTCATTTGAAACAATCATGCTGGTTTCATAATGATCTAAATTGAGGATGGCTATAGAAAATAGATTGTAATGTACACTAAATACATAATTTTAGTTAGAGCAAATAAAAAACTGAGACTTATATTCCTAACAAAATATAAATTAGATGTGTTATTAAATTAGGTCTAAAGATCATTTCACGAGAAAATAATTTATTGATATATACATAGTAAAATAATATAAATTTGATAATAAGAAAACTTGGATGCTATTTCCTGATGTATTAATGAGTGCTTCATCTAGATTTTGAAATTTTACATAGCCTTGTAATAGGAGGTACTTTAGAATCACTACTCACCCACACAATCCCTGCAAGGTAGGTCAGTCAAATATTATCCATATTTTACAGATGAGGCATCTGAGACAGGGAGATTAAGTGACTCACCCAGGGTCACACAGGAAGTCACTGGCAGAGCAGGGATTGGAACTGAGTTCCTGATTCCCAATCCTGTCCGTGGTCACGCTACCTGTATATAGTAAGTTCATATCATGCTCATGACAAGCATCTGACATACTAACCAAAAGATCAGCAATCAAAGATGAAATATTCTCGTGGCAATAGTGAAGAATATAAAGCAAAGCATGTATGTCATTAAGTTGCAGAGGTATGATGTTATGAAGTTACTTAGGCCCTAGAAATATGGTGGACTATCTAATAAGATACTATTCAAAATATCTGAGGAAACAAAGGAAGAAAGCTGGCCAAGTGGGAGGGAGTGTGATCCAGCAGCTGGCACAAGCTCTCGGCCACAGAGGTAGGCACAGTGCTTTGCCCAGGCAGCTCTGCTGGAAACAGAATAAAGTTTTCTCATGTTCACCTGCCAGTTTATATTTGATATGATCATTGCCACTGCATATAAAGTACCCGGTTAGTTTTACATATCAAGCTTTCTCATTGATTTTTTTTTCTATCCTGACATCCTTTTTAATTTTCTAGCATGATTTTTCATGCAGCTAAGTAGAATAACTTGAGTTGTATTCTTTGTAGACAATGTCTTAGAAAAGAAAGTTTTACTGGCGGGGGGGTGGGGGCGGGGTTGGTTAAAAAGCATGAGTTGTAGTTTTAATTATAAATTTATTTCATCAAAACTAGAAACAAACTAATATATTAACCAAAATTTAAAAAAATGTATTTCACTTTAAAGTATGTCTTTAGAGCTTCCTAAGAAAGGAGTAGATTCATGAAACCAAATTATCTGACCTACTAATATAACATGCTCTATTCCTATATTTAATGTGTCTTTTAAGGAAACTCCTATTTAAGGGTAATGATGTGATTTCTTTTGGTTCTTTAGTCAAATAGTTTATGACTTTTATATTGGAAGAACATAATTGCAATCATGCATATCAGCCATTGAATATGTAAAAATCAGTATATGTACTTTGAAAGAAGGCACTCTAAATCTATTCCTTTTAAATTATAGTCAGTTTCCCTTGGACAAAAAGAAATTAATGACTGAATGGCTTAATATACACAGTGAGCCCTTATAATAAGTCAGGGCTCACATAGATACTTCTGAAAGATTGTTATTATAAATTAATCAGAATAAAATATTTTTTGATACCCACCTTCCAGTTTATATTTGATATGATCATTGTCACTACATATAAAGTACCTGGTTAGTTGTATATGTCAACCTTTCTCTTTGATTTTGTTTCTGTCCTGACATCCTTTTTAATTTTTTCTCCATAATTTTTCATGCAGTACAAAGTACAGTCATGATAAGTATTTCAGAAATATTTAATACAATCAATAGCAAATTTCATTGGCAGACATTCAAATTGCTTTTAGCCCTGGAAACTTATTGCTTAAATTGAAAAAAGTGAATTTAGTCTGTAGAATATAGAGCTATATTTTTATTGTATCTTTTTATTTTGTGAGGCAACATGATCATCTAAGAGCATCAATATTAAAACAGTAGGAATTATATAAATTGTTATATAAATAATTTCTTCCAAGTGATTTATGTTATTTGAAGAATGAATTTTCTTTTATCAGAAACAGTGTGCTTCCAGATTTTTAAGTGCCTTTTCTTGTCATAAACTTACAATCTAAAAACCAACTGGTCATCTAGCAGTTAAATCTGTATCTCCATCTTGTTTCCATATTTTCATGTTATTCAGTAAATAGATATTCTTGCTCATAATTTCTGTCATAATAAAATTAGGTGTAAAGTTTCACATGAAATAATATGCAGTGCCTTATTTGCTAGCCTATGAAAAATTTTGTATCCCTCATAAACATTTGCTGAGAATATTGATTTACCTAAGTGACTTTATTTTGTTCAACAGGTCATGTATGTGGAAGGGACCGCAGTTATTATGGGTTTTGAAGATCCCATGCTACAAACAGATGACACTCCTATTAAACGCTGTCTTCAAACCAAATGGCCATACATCGAATTACTCTGGACCACAGATCGCTCTCCTTCACTAAACTGATTTGCATAAGTATTTAAAAGGAAGATTGTAATAGCAGATATTGAAAGAGGGTTGTAAGACTGGCAGTTGGCTATACACTGGTATCACTGACTAATTGTAAATAACATAAGAACACATTTTCAGTGTTTAAGATATGTTTAAATTATTTATGTTAAGATTTACCCTATTTTAACTCTGTGTGTGAAATTTACTAGCAAAATTAAGCTTTAATCAAAGTTCACCACTTTTGCAGTTGGATAATTGGTCATTTATCAAATTACAAATATTTAATACTACAGCATTTGTATATTAAGTATCAAAGTTACTATTTATAAACTATTTTGGGGTTTTATTTCATTCAGGTATATTATATTGTTTAAATGATTCTGGCTTGCAATATATCAGCTTCCATATTTAAATGCAGAGTTAATTTTTATTTCTTTTTAAAAATCTGTTTCCCATTAGAAATACTAATAAATAACAAATTATCAACTTGGATCTTTTGACAATTGGCTTAGCTCTGGCATGTTTATAAAAAAGTAGAAACTATAAAGGAACATTACCGTTTATTCACAGATATATAGAGAATGTATTTTTTAAAAAGATAGTAAAGAGAATCTGTTTAATAGTCTTAACACTGTTAACTCTTACTGTATTGCCAAATACACTATTCTAAACTTGTCCCAACAGCCCTGTAAGCCAGGTTTTTTGTAAATTTATAAATATGATAGATGCATGAAAACATCTGTTATTAGTATATTGCATTATTTATTATGATCCTAGTGGATGGCTTAAATAAACACTTTTCTTTAAATGTACCTTTGCATAATTTTTTTACAGTAGTGTCTCAGGATAAGTAAATTCTTTTAAATGTTTCTGTCCAGTAACCCTGAGTGCAGCATAGAACAATTGCCTAATGGAGTCATATACCACCTTGAAAAGGAAATTAAATCTTATGGTTACCTAAGGGTTCTGTAACTCACCCAGCTAGAAGCACCAGAACCTGGGTGGCAGCTGTCTGGACCAGTGGACAAAAATACAGAAGCCTCATCTTATTTATTTTAGAGAGAGAATTTACTTTATTCTGATAGGCCTGTTGCCTAGCAATTTGAAAATTGTATAGCCAGAAGATACTTTCTTTCCATTACTTTCAAGGTAGACAATTGTTTAGTACCTTAGCAACTTCAAGACCGAACTTCCTTCAGCAGTATAGTTGAATATGTGTTTCCTCTGTTTGGATATTATTTTATTTTATTTTTATAGACATTGGAAATTATAAGTAGATTTTATCATAGGAAATAGTGGCACAAGATTTTATGTGTAACTTTTGGTAAAATTATGTTCAGGAGTGTGATACTAGCTACTAGACTTATAGCTGTAAAATATCCAGTCTTTTTGTGAATTTCACTACTTTTGAATTTATATGAAATATATTGTTTTAGAATTAATTCTCAAACTCTGTTCCTAAATCCATAAGGATTACAGAAAAGCATAGATTTTCTTAAAGACATTGAACCTAAAAAAATAGCATTATTTTCTTACTGTTGCTACAATAACAAACCATCCCAAAACTTCATGGCATAAAACAATCATTTTATAAGTTATGTGGCTCAGGAGTTTGAACAGAGCACAGTGAGCATGGCTTGTCAGTTTCTAATCTGGAGGCTCAACTGGAGACTCTGGAAGTATCTTTACTCATGAGTGGCATGACTGGAACCTTAGCTTGATCCAATCTACACCAAACAACTTTGGATATGTCTTATTTTGATATGTGTGTGGGACACTTACCAAGATAGACTGACTGTATACTGGACCATAAAGCAGTCTAGAAAATCCCAAAAGCTATATATTAAGCAGGATACTTCTGAATAATCCAAGAATCAAAGAAATATTGAAATGGAAGTTAGAACATACTTTTCACAATAAATGAAAATAGGACATAGCAGAAATTATGGGATGTAACTAAAGCAATGCTTAGAGGGAAATGTATGGCTTTAAAAACAGGGTGTCCTCCCCAAAATATATCTTTAACCACTTATGGTTCAATTAATGTTTCTTTTCAGATTTAACACATTGAAATGAATAATTATTCAAAGTGTGTATACATTTTTTGAGACACCCTGTTTATATATTAGAAAAGTAGTAAGTTTGGAAATTGGAAACTTAAGCTTTCACCTCAAGAAATCCAAAGTAAATAAAAGAAAGTAAATAATAATACAAAAAGGAAGGTATCCACAAGCAAAAGAATGAATTTGGAATTCTATCTCACACCATATACAAAAATTAACAAAATGACAAGAGATACAATTATAAGAGCTAAAACTATAAAATTCCTAGAAGAAACACAGAAGTAAATCTTCATGACTATGGTTTAGGTAATGGTTTCTTAGAAATTCCAAAAACACAGACAAGAACAAAGATAAAGTAGACTTCAAAAGTAAAACTTCAGTGTGTCAAAGGACATCATCAAAAAAGGAAGATGACAACCTATAAAATGGGAGAAAATATTTGAAAAGCATGTATCTCATAAGAATATGCATCTAGGATGTATAAGGAACTCAACTCATATAAAAACAAATATTTTTAAGTGGGCAAATGATTTGAAGAGATGTATCTCCCAAGATGACATAGAGACGGCCAATAAACACAAGAAAAGATGTTGAACATTAGTGAAATGCAAATCAAAACCATTTCACACCCAATAAGATGTTCAAAATAAGAAAGACAATAACAACTGTTGACAAAGATGTTGAGAAATTTGGACCCTCACCTTGTTGGGGGGATGTAAAATGAAGTCTCTTTAGAAACGCAGTTGTGCAGTTCTGAAAAAAGTTCAATAGAGAGTTAGCATATGACCCAGCAATTCTAATCCTTGGTATATACCCAATAGGAAAGATGAAAACATATTCACACAAAATTTTTATGTGAATATTCATAGTAGTGTTATTTATACTAGCCAAAAATAGAAAAAACTTCAATGCTCATCAACTGATGGATTGATAAATGAATATAGTATATACATAGAATAAAATGTTATTTGACAAGGAAAATGAATGAGTTATTGATACATCAATATGGATGAATCTTGAAGACATACTAAGTTAAAGAAGCCTATCATAAAATAAAGCTAATTATATGATTTCATTTATGTTGACTATCCAGAAATGGCAAACCATAGACTCGTGATTAGCCATCACCATTGCCTAAGGTGAAGATGAAGTGGAGGAGCAAGATTGGGGAACAACTGCTAATGTGTATTGAGTTTCCTTTTGGGGTGATAAAAATGTTTTAGAGTAGATAGTGGTGGTGATTACACAATTCTGAACATACAAAAAAACTGTGAGAAAAAAAAGACAAAAGGAGAAGTCAATGAAGTAGAAAGCAGATATATAACAGGGAAAAAAGTAAGCAAGGCCAATAGTTCTCAAAAAAACCCCTAATAAAATTAATAACAATATATTGAAAATATTGAAATAACACATGGTAGAAATTCTATACCTGTTGAAAAAGACTCACATACAAGCAAAAGCTAAGGGAGTGCACCACCAATAGACCTGCCATATAAGGAATGAATACTAAAGGGAGTTCTTTCTTTAAGTGGAAGTTAGAGGATGCTCATTATCTTCAAAAACATAAGGTGGCAAAAAAAATACTGTAATGGTAAATATATATCAAAATTAGATTCTGTAATATGGTTATTATACTGCATAATTACAACACTAAAGTTTTAAATGCAAACAGTAAAAATCATAACTATAATAATCTGTTATTGGACACACAATATAAGAAATATGCAAGCTGTAACATCAAAAACCTAAAATATAAAGAGGAGGATAAGTAAAAGTTTAAAGTTTAGGAATGCTATCAAAGTTATCAATTCAAAATAGGGTGTTATATTTTAAGATATTTTATATAAGCCTCATGATAACCACAAGAGAAAAAACCTGTAGTAATTATACCAAAGAATGTGATAAAGAAGTCAAAGCATACTGATATAAAAAAACATCAAAACACAAAAAGTAACAGCAGGATAAGAAACAAAGAACAAACTATAAAACAACTAGAAAAAAATTTTTACAATGGCAAAAGTAAGTCCTTATCCAACAATAATTACTTTCAATGTAAATGGATAAAATTCTCCAATCAAAAGACATAGAATGGCTGAATGGATTAGAAGACAATATTCAATAACATGTAGTCACAAGGGACTGACTTTAGCCTTGAAAACATACATAGACTGAGAGTAAAAGGATAGAAAATTATTTCCAGGACACTGGTCAAGATGCCAGAGTAGGTAAACTCTGCAGGCCCCCTCCCACAACCACATCAAAATTACAACTAAATTATAAAACAACCATCACTGAGAAACAACTGAAGACTAGCTGAACGAAATACACTTTAAAACAAAGGCTGTAGCCCAGCCGATGTGGCTCCATGGTTGAGCCTTGACCCATGAACTAGAACAGTTCTCAACCTTCTGGCCCTTTAAATACAGTTCCTCATGTTGTGGCCCAACCATAAAATTATTTCGTTGCTACTTCATAACTGTAATGTTGCTACTATTATGAATCGTAATGTAAATATCTGATATGCAGGATGGTCTTAGGCAACCCCTGTGGAAGGGTCGTTCGACTGCCAAAGGGGTCGCGACCCACAGGTTGAGAACCGCTGAACTAGAAGGTCATAGTTCAATTCTGTTGGGGCACATGCCTAGGTTTCGGGCTCGATCCCAGTGTGGGGAGTGCAGGAGGCAGCTGATTGATGAATCTCATCATTGATGTTTCTCCCTTTCTCCTTTCCTCTCTCTGGAATCAATTAAAAAAAAAAACATTAAAAATTAAATAAAGGCTGTAACAAGAGAAAAGAAGGTCAGCTTATTATGATAAAGGGATCCAACAACAGAATATAACTCACAAATATCTATAACTCAGTTTAGCAGCACCTAAATATATAACACAAATATTGATGGATATAAAGGGATCGGCAATAATACAGTAATAGTAGGGGAATTTAACACTCCATTGACATCAATGGATAGATCTTCCAGACAGAAAATCAACAAAGAACTAGTGGACTTGAATGACACATTAGCCAATATGGACCAGTCAAAAATACTACCTTTCTAAAGGATTTGGTACACAAACCTACTGGGGATGGACAGAAAAATATAACTACATTTAAGATATTCAAGCTCCCAAACAATCCAACATTTTATGGAATGGACTATGGTTTTTAGCAGGTTCCTGAAGTGGGTTTTTGTAATGTCACAATGTTAATCACTGCAATTAAATTTTGAGCTTTCACAGGCAGCAACAGATCTTATTCACATATGTAGTTCTAATAACAGTTTATAGTTTAAATTTAGACTTAATAGTGGTGTGTTGAATTGTTAGTCAATAAAATATTCATTTGTAATCCATTATAATCTTCACCCGTAAGGGAAGTTTCATGAACTGATTTTTCTTTTAAACTGCTGGGGTTACAAGTTTCCCCTAGTTGTCCTCAGTAAATATAATACCTAGTCCAAACATGATAAGAGATGAGTATGGAATAAAAGAACCTATTAAGATTCAACTGACTGGAGTTCCCATACTACCCTCCCCCCCCAAAAAAAAAAATTAAAAATGAGGATATTGGATGACCCAAATGAACCTTTACTGATGAAATTTGAATCAGGGTCGGTTACGAAATTACCTAATTTTGTAGGTAAATGGGATATGCAATAGGATAGAAAAGACTACTTTAGGTAGAAAGCATTCTCTCCTAATATAGAGCCAAACTGAGGGGCCAGCTTTGGTTTGGCTGCAGAGGAGTGTCC